AGCTGCCAGGGATCTCCCACATTCCTTGGTTTGTGGCCCCTTCATCTTCAAAGCCAGTGGTGTAACATCTTCTCTCAGGTTCCTGAACTCCCTCTTATAAGGATTTATGTGATTAGATTGGGTCCACCTGGATATTCCCAGGATACCCTCCCCATTCTCAGATCCTTAATTAAATCTGCAAAGACTCTTTGCCATGGAAGGTAATATAGTCACAGCATGAGACATCTTTGGGGGACCATTATTCTGCCGATCATATATAGTATCAAAATGCAAATCATGATGCTAGATTAGATCTTGTACCAGAAGAAAAATGTGCCAGAAAAATTTGAAAAATTTTCAACAGATTGAAGTAGTTTAGTTACTGCTAAATTTATTCAAGTGGACAACTGTGGTTATGTAAGAGAAAATAGGAAACACACACTTAAGTATTTAGGGGTAAACAGTCATTTTGTATACAACTTACTCAAGGGGTTTAGATAGGTGCATACAGAAAGCAAGCATTTATAAAGCATGAAGCAAAATGTTAAAAACAATTGAATCTGTATTAAAAGGTATATGGGTGAATATTCTTATAACCTTCAGTAAATTTGAAAGTATTTTCAACTAAAAAGTTAGATTAAAAAGTGGTAAGTATGTAGTTTAACTAAAAGTTGATTAACTTTATTATGCAAATACCACAAGTAACTCATAGTTGATATCATTTGAGAGGTCAGAATAACTGCAGATTCAGCAACTCAATTTCTGTTCTTTCTACAACAACATGACTAGAAAGTGAAAAGGATCAGAAACTTTTAGGATTTTTAGGCTAAGAATTTAAAGGAAATCCTAAGTCTGACAATATTATAGTTTCAAAGAGTTTAAACTAAAATTGGTAATTATTGTTAGATTTAAATACCAACCAGTGGATCATACCCGGCTATTTGTGAGAGACAATCTGCTGGGTAATTTTCTAAAAAGGCACTTATAAAAGTAACCTCCCCTTTTCAGGAGTGTTCAGCTGATTAAAAAAAAAAAAAGTATTCTATTCTAGAGCTTTCTTCCGCTCAGGGCCTCCAGCAGAATTTTATTGGTTTGGCCCCAGACAATCTTTCCGGTACCCGTTCAGGCTCCCACTCCACCCTGTATTGTTTAAAGACAAAAGATAAGGCTGCCTGGACTCCAGCCACTGACAAATAAGCCTGAGCCTCTCCACTGGGAAACTCCTCTGGTCTTGGAAGAAACTAACATTTTTAAATGAAGGTAAAACAAAGCATACAGCCCCCTGTTTCTACCCAAAGGCTATGTTCGGGTTTGTTTTTCTTGCCAACTGTGGTAGCCAAGAACACAGTTCCTCCAATTGTGCCAGGATGGTGTGCCAGGACCAAATAATAGTGGACTTTTCTCAATTACAGAAACAAGGGGGAAAAAAATAGGTGGCTATGAATCAGTTTTATCTTTATGTTTAGCTCTTGTTAGCACCAGACAATACTCAAGTTTATGATTCGGCACAATCTATGATTATACCAGCACAAAAGAATCTATTTTGCTATTTTCAGTTTAACACATTGTTTTTCAGAGAGTTGCATGACATCTTTAAATGAGTTTGGCAGTCCCAGCCTAAGTGCTTCCATGGTCAGGAACAGGGTATGTCTTTATTACTTAGATGCTTCACTGAGGAGAACACTTTAGCTTGCCATTAATAGATACCCACATGAAGGGCTAAGAGTCAGATGACCTAGGATTTCTCTTTAAGACTATCACTTTTTAGTTGTTTAACCTTGGTCAAACTGCTTCTGGCTTATGAAGCTCAGGGTGTCATTTGTATAATAAGAATCACAGTAGCCATCCTGCTTTCCTATTTTTCTTAATCATCCAAGGAGATAAACATGTGAAATCATTTTGCCAATAGAAAAGCATTATGAAAAGGCCAGCTACCCCACCCCCATAATTACTAGTTTTTAAATGTAAGGTTAATTGATGTATGTTTGTTTGTTTCTTAAAGTGTCTCATAAAGTGCTGGCTCCATAGTTTTCCCTAAACAAATACTTGCTAAGTGAGCAGATGATTAGATTAATTAAGGTTCAGGCTGCGAAAAGATTTACATTACTATGTCCCAAGAACTTCCCTTATTCAATAGGACCAGCATTGACCTAGACTTGCTAGGTCAACAAAGAGGATATAACTGGTTCAACAAAAAGGTAGATGTTCTAAGGAATTCTAAGGAATTTAGTAGATAGTAAAGATTTTAGCATGGACTAATGACAAGAAATATGCCTTTCAAGAGAATGCTCTTGAAATGACAACCTTACAAAGTTTGGAAGACTTTTTAAGCACAAGCACTTAGTGATGTGCTTATTTGACTTATATGCAGAGCACATCATGTGAAATGCTGAGCTGGATGAGTTACAAGCTGGAATCAAGATTGCCAGGAGAAATATCAACAACCTCAGATATGTGGATGATACCACTCTAATGGCAGAAATTGAAGAGGAACTAAAGAGCCTCTTGATGAGGGTGAAAGACGAGCCTGAAAAAGCTGGCTTAAAACTCAATATTAAAGAAAACTGAGATCATGGCATCAGCCCCATCACGTCATGGCAAAGAGAAAGGGAAATGGTGGAAGCAGTGACAGATTTCCTCTTCTTGAACTCTAAAAGCACTGTGGATGGTGACTGCAGTCATGAAATTAGATGATGATTGCTTCTTGGCAGGAAAGCTATGTCAAACCTAGGCAGTGTGTTAAAAGCAAAGATATCACTTTGCTGACAAAGGTCCATATAGTGAAGTCTAGGGCTTCCCTGGTAGCTCAGCTGGTAAAGAATCCACCTGCAAGGCAGGAGACCCTGGTTTGATTCCTGGGTTGGGAAGATCTCCTGGAGAAGAGAACAGCTACCTACTCCAGTATTCTGACCTGGTGAATTCCATGGACAGAGGAGCCCGGCAGGCTACAGTCTGTTGAGTTGCAAAGAGTCAGGCACAACTGTGTGATTTTCACTTTCACATGGTCTTTCCAGTAGTCACGTACAGATGTGAGAGCTGGACAGTGAAGAAGGCAGAGTGCTGAAGAATTGATGCTTTTGACTGTGGTGCTGAAGAAGATTCTTTAGAGTCCCTTGGACTGCAAGGAGATCAAACCAGTCAATCTTAAAAGAAGTCAACCCTGATTACTCTTTGGAAGGACTGATGCTCAAGTTCCAATACTTTGGCCACTTGATACTAGAGCTGACTCATTAGAAAAGACCGATGCTGGGAAAGATTGAAGGCAGAAGGAGAAGAGGGTGACAGAGGATGAGATGGTTGGATGGCATCACCAGATTCAATGGTGAACTTGGGCAAACTCTGGGAGGTGGTGAGGGACAGGGAAGCCTGGCGTGCTATAGTCCGTGGGGTTGCAAAGAATTGGATACGACTTAGCAACTGAACAACAACAATTTAGTGATGTGCTTATTAACACACTTGAACTTTTGATGGATGTGTCCACAGAAAGGACTCAAAGTCAGCTTGCAATAAGTCAATGTGTAGTAAGTATTTTTGGTGTTATAGAAAGATATCAATTTGCAGAGCAGAGAGTAACCCAAGTGGTTTTAAATTAACTCAAAGGAACACAGTACAGTAGTTAAAGTGAATCAACGTGGAACATATTATGTGTCAAAGGCATGTTGCAAAATATGAGCAAGTTGTAAAGTGATACATGCATTATGAAGGTATCAACATAAAAGATGAAAATATGCAAAAAATACGGTATCTTATATATGGATGTAGAGTTTGCTATCAAAGTATAAGAAAGAGTAGGGCTACTGTGGGCTGTTACACTCAAAACAATTCCAAGGGGATGGTATCCTCATGTCAAGCCCTAAAAACATGCATTGCAATGAGAAACTCCAGCTCAGAATACTTATTCCTAAGAGATAAGCTCTCCCCAAGAGAAAAAATGGTACTTAAGGGTATAGGACAGAGGCATATACGGGGCTTTAATTATATTTATCATGATTCACTATTAAAAAGTACATTTGAAACCTATTTCCAGGGCAAGAATAGAGATGCAGAAATAGAGATTGGACTTGCAGACATGAGGGGAAAGAGAGGGACGGGGGGGAAGGGTAGGATGAATTGGGAGATTAGGATTGACATATATACACTACCATATGTAAAACAGATAGCTGTGTAAAATATAGATATGTAAAAAAACAGATATGTAAAATAGCTAGTGGGAGCCTGCTGTTTATATAAAGCACAAGGAGCTCAGCTTGGTGCTCTGTGATGACCGGGATGGGTGGGGTGGAGGTAGGTGGGAGAGATGTCCAAAGAGAGAAGGGGTACATGTATACACATGGCTGATTCACTTCATTGTACAGCAGAAACAACAGTGTAGAGCAATTATACTCCAATTAAAAAATACAGTTGAAGCAAATATTGCAAAATGGTAACATCTGACAAGTTATGTGATGAGTCCACAGGCATTACATTAGTCCCTATATGTGAAACATTTCTTCATGCCTTAATACTAACACTACATAATTAGAAAATCAATGAATATTCTTGGTTACCGTCATAAAAGCATACCTATAATCATAGCTACATTTTTATTGTAAATTTTGAAGAATCAATCACACTGCAAATAAATTCAGAGATAGAACATTTTGTGTTCTCAAATTAAATAGGTGACTTATATAGGACCTTTTCAGGTATGAAAATAATTTTCATAACTTTACACTTGAGCCTTTGTTTGGAGGAAGGCTGAAAGAAAAACAGAAGTCAATGGATAGCTATAAAGAAGGTGATTTTATGTGCTTTGGGAGAATATGGGTAAGACACATGCTGAAATGTTCACCCCAAACCAAAGTTTAGCAGTTGCCTGAGGAAAAAATATAAATATACAAGTCAAATTCCAAAGATACCTTCTTCAAATTCTGACAATTAGCAAACTCTTAAATGGCAGATAACTTCCTATCTCAATATAAATGACCCCATTTCTTTTGTCAGCTACCACAACGAAACCCAGAAATGTACAGCTTACATACCAAAACGTCCATCCCGGGGACATATTTGAGGGTTATCATATAGTCTTTTGGAAGATTTGCCACCTACAGAGACCAAAAGAAAAAAATATATATCTGTAAGAAAATCCATACACATCAGTTAATCACATGTTTTTAGTGGCTTAGAGAAAAACACCTGCAAACCTAGTATGCTTTTAAATTACCACTGATTTTCAACATTTACATAGTGATTTTTCATTCTTGATTTCCCTCTGCAATCAAAAGCACTCTCCAGAAATGAAGTAATAATACAAATCTTTTTTTATTCCAAATTCAGTTATGGGTGGCTAACTATAATCTACTGAGTTTGGAAACATGATTTGAATTTCAGCTTCCATCTGTGGTCTTGGAATTTCCCTTCAGGACTATTTTCCTATTTGTTCCTCCAAAGGATCAGTAACGCAGTGTTTTTTCCTCATAAGTGGTTCTCCAAGTGATGTGTCAACGGCACCAGGGAACGAACCTGTTAGAAATGCAAAGTCTCGGGCCACATCAGACCTACTGAATCTTCCTAAACAAGTCCTCCAGGTGATTCTGGAGGTGATTCTGGTGATCCAGGTGTGCTCAAGTTAGGGAACTACTGTTCTATGTTAATCCTAGGAAAAAAAGTGTTAAATTTCAAAAGAACAATGATACTTATAAGCTGCAAATGCTTTATCAGTTAATTAATTTAGAAAGATTCAGTTTTGTGATATCATGTAACCTACTTGCCTGGGACTGAACGTGTGAGATGCCTCAAATGTTTAACTAGCTTCTTTTAAAGACTTTCAAAAAATATCTAACCCATTTCCATCAGTCACTGTGGCATAAGTTGAACAAGCACCTGATTTAGAACCAGGGAATTTAGAACAAATCTAAACTCTACTTTGGTTTCTCTCATCTGTAAAGTGGAGATAAAAGTACCCATGTCCTACATACACTACCATGTATAAAACAGCTAGCTAGTGGGAATCGTCTGTATAACAGGGAGCTAGGTTTGGCAGCTCTGTGATGACCTAGAGGGATGGGGATGGGGGTGAGACTGGGCGGGGTGGGGAGTGGATATATGCATACATATGGCTGATTCACATTGTTGTAAGGCAGAAATTAGCACAACATTGTAAAGCAGTAGTCCTCCAATTAAAAAAAAAGTACCCGTGTTTAAGAGTCAATTTAAGAATTTAGATGAGTGTGCCAAATATCATAAACAATCAATCCATATTCTTTACTGAGAGCTATACTGGAAACTGACTTCCAAGGCACAAGTTCTAGTAAGTTACAGAGTTTTAGGTTCACTTGTCCCCTTTCCTACATATCACCAGCTCTGACATCTCACCCTTCAGCATAGTTAAAATTTCCTTCTGTAGAATATGGCCCATTTATTTTATGTATAAATTGACTTAGCCCGCTGGGTCTTAAAACAACAGACAATGTAAAAAAGTGGTTTTGCTCCATTATATCTTCAATGGGTCTACCTGCTCTGGCAGACTCATTATCCGCTTTACCCTGTTTCTAAAATCATCACTATTCTCCATCGTGAGCTAGTACCTTGTGCATATTTTCAGGCTAGTTCATCTCTGACAAGACTCCCAGAACACAACCCTTATGTTTCTTCTTGGCTTTGCCAATAGCTTCTAGAATTTGAGAACAATTTGCTGAGAAAAGAATCTAGGTAAAGACATATGCAGTCAGAGGGGAGCCACGGGAGTAGGTAATCCCATCATGCGTGCTACCATCCAACATCCAATGGAACCACCTCACACTCATTTCAGCCTCCAGCCTAACACTTACCAAATACTTACCATGTTTTAGCACTGCGCTAATTATGGGCTTACGTTGTGTGATCGCATCCAACCCTCAGAATCACTTTCACATAGTATTGCTAAATTAATGAATGAAGAACTTAAGACTCAAAGAGGTCAGGTAACTTGACTGAGGTCACACGACTGCTACCTGTCAAGTCTGGACTAGAACTCAGGTCTCTGACAGCCAGGCCTCCGTTACCCCTCAGCTCAACTACACATGGTCACCCAGCTACTCTGCACACTTGTCCTAGATATTTTCCACTTGTGAGACTCACCAACATCCCTCCTCGTGCCACCCCCAAGAAAACAGTCAAGTCTGCACTGCTTACTGAGAACACATCTGGGCCACTACAGAAGGGTGACTTTTTACATTAACATTCTTTCTCTTGGTCAAACTTCCCACCCTGCTTCCATGATTTCTTTTGTCTTGTGGATCTTCACCTCCATATTTGAAAAGCAGACGGACCTCATCATTTTATGTAAGCCCCGGTGGAAAACAGAGTGGACAGCTTCACAGGTATAAAAGCTGGAATCAGAATGAGCAGCAACGTTCTGTTTTGTTACAAACCAACCTGGAAAGTGAAGGCCATTCCAGATGGAGAAGCATGGCACAAAATGGCGGGTGTTCTGAATAGAGGTGCTTGACAATCTAGCCCCCTTCCTTAAGCACAATTAACATCATCGGAAAATAAATATAGAATTGACCAAATTAGTGTTCAGAACACTTAGGATATGAGTATGTACCAAGAGAGCAGAGAAAATGTTAAAAGATAGACTGGCCAATTCTGTTTTATTAATAATTTACATGTAAAAATTGGTGCAAAGAAGTCAAAGAAACCTCCTTACCACATGGTGGGGGGGGGGGGGCAGTGGTATATCATAATAACTTCTGCCTTAAACTGATTTACTGATATTTAGTTTCTAATGGAGCTGAATACTATTTTTGAAAAATGCTTTAAAATTTTACCAAGTTTTGGTACACAGTCTCTGCCACAACCAAGATATATATCATTGGGCCTATTTCACCGAATAACACATGGAGGCTCAGAAGGGTTAACTTGCATCTCAGGGTCACAGACATGAGGGGTACACGGTGCGAGTGAGCACACAAATCCTGGCTCTGAGCGCTGGTCTCAGCAGTTATCTGTCCATCAGTCTCCACGTTATTACTTTCTTGGATTGCATTGGTTCATTTCCAATCACATTTGGAAGAGAAATTAGGAAGTCAAGTTGTATATTTTTTATGGCCACTTCATGAATTATTATATTACTTTCTAAGCATTCATAGTATGTTGAATAGCATCCAAAAAGCAGAGATAACCTTGTGATAAATTCGGTTTCTCTTATGTATGATGAACACTGCAGAAATTTCAGAGTAGAGAGCGCCTTTGTCCTGGAACTAGGAAGATAAGCTGTTCCTTCGAGGCAGTTACTTTGATGAAGGACTCACAGCACAGGTCCTGGGGACACACTGCTCAGGCCGGATCCAGGTCCTGCCACGTGCTAATTCAGAGATCTTGGGCAACTTACCAAATCTTCTTTAGCCTCAATTTCCACATAGGTAAAATGGGAATCACAGAACTGAGCTGGTGGATTTATTAAGACTATACAAGGATAAATGTAACTTGTTTAAAATACTTAGTTATTTAGTGTTGTGTGTGAACGAGTACTTATTAATTGCAAGGGAGAGACACATTCTAAATATAGGAAGGAAGGGACATCTTCAAAGACAAAGGCATGGTAGACCAGGGACGGATCATTCAGGCTCCAGCCAGTAGGAGGTAAGAAATACACCAGGAGACCCACATCAGTGAGGGACCTGAATGTTGGGCCACGGAGGCCAAGTGGGAAAGCAGTAAGGTTCAGCAAAACCAGTTCCACCACTAGATCCCTACAACAAGTCACTCTTGTCTTAGGCACATCGCTTCCTCCCTATGGAACCTCTACCCCCATCTGTAAGATGAAGTGGAGGGAGAAAATTACTAAGAACTCAATCAGATTTAGCTTCCTCATGTAAGCAGTGGTGGTACATGGAATGTGTTTAAGCAGGAGGAAAACATTAAAGCCAATTTAGGACGGTTAGTTTGGAAGTTTGGACTGAAGCGAAGAGAGACCAAGGGCAGTTTAGAAGACCAGTAGGAGAGTATGAACATGCGTTAAATATTTCTACAGAGATTAGAAGCTGAAAAAGCAGAGATGTGGCTTAGATCCCAAGGAAGCATCCTGCTGGGAAGGTTATATGGATACATAACCAAGGCTATAGATTTTGAAAACCTAACTGTCCTAGTAAAATAAGTTCAGGGCAAAAATTAAAATGAAAACCGAAATACCAAAAAAAAAAAAAAATTAAAATGAAATAGACCCTAATTGATGAAAAATTTATCAAAGGTCAAGTTAGTCCAATGAAAGAAATGGTTTGGAGTGTGAGGATTTAAATATTGTGCCAGATTAGAAAATGCATAAAACTTCCAAAACAAGTCATTTTGTGATATGATGGGCTTCCCTGGTGGCTCAGATGGTAAAGAATCTGCCTGGGATATGGGAGATCTGTGTTCAGTCCCTGGGTAGGGAAGATCCCCTGCAGAAGGGAATGGCAACACACTCCAGCATTCTGGCTTGGAGAATCCCATGGACAGAGGAGCCTGGTGGGCTATAGTCCATGGGGTTCCAAAGGGTCGGACACAACTGAGTAACTAACACTTTCACTTTTACTCTATTACTAGACAGGCCCATTTACTATCTTTTCATTTTTTTGGATATCTTAAGGACTGATCATACTCAGTGACACTAGGGGGGAAATGCTTAAGAGAAATAGCATGTAGAAATACTGGAAACTCAGCCAAGAAAAAGTCTTTGCAAGCCAAACAGTCATTGGCTGCTTACCATGCCCTGCAGGTATTTGGACTTGGGGGAAAAAAGAACTCAAAGTCAGAACATTTAACTCCCTCTCTAGATCACTGATCTAAAAGCTTTGGATCTCAAGATTCAAATGTCATCGAGGTCTCTCAGTCTTGTGAAACCAGTGGCTTTTTGGACATCCTTGGTGAGATACTTGTCTCAGCTGTTTCTGTCAAGATCTTGATAAGAATCAAAATGCACTGATAGTAACTCATGATTCCCTTGACCCTACATAAAATGGTGAACATAGTTGACCTTTCTGAGGAAAGAGTCTAGTTCTCAAAGTCTCTGAGACCCAGAGAAGTTTAAGAATCACTGCTGATTCTTAGAGCAAAAAAGCCTATGCTGTACTTAAAATACCCC